TGGCTAGCTTCAGAAAGTCTTCATTTGGGTTATGCTAGCGGCAGATGACCCTTAGAAGATCCCACCACTCACAGCCACCCTGACCTCCAGTCCTTAAACTGGTTGAGAAGGAGCATCTCCCTATTCCAGTCAGTGTGCATGTATGATTGCTTAAGCAGTACTCCTCAGAGCAGTCCATGAGATCTTTATCATGGTGGAGCAGGCAAACTCCTGAGGCTCTTGGTCCTAGGCACACCCAGCAGCAGGGCTGCAGAAATACAGAGGGCTGGAGAAAACAGAGAGCTGAGGCTATGGAGGACAAAGGGCTGTGAAGAGCCAAAACTGCAGACGGATGGCAAGAGTTCCAGACCACCACTGAGAATCATTAATGCTAGCTGCTGAGGAGCTAAAACTCAAAGATAACGGTCTCAACACTCTGAAGTCAGGTCTGTAGCACCAAGAGCTGAGTGTCTTGGTACCCTAACCTCCACTAGCTGCTGGGTACTGAGTCAGTGACACTTAGACCCTGAGCTGCAACACTGAACAGAGGCTCAGCACCCCAGGCTCTGAAGCTGGAAGGCTAAGGACTATATACCCTGCCTGCTCATGCTTTCCATCTAATTGAACAAAATAACCCTCAAGACAATGCTGCTAGACAGTGTCTTCTAGACATGACAGGGAAGTGGCGCCCATGAAATCCCCACACTATGGCTACCTAGGCCTGACCTTCATAATGACAGCCAATGTGGATGGGGCAATTTCACACAGCCCCACCTAGATGAAGAGCTACAGGCAATCAATGGTTGTTGAGAGAGCATCAGTTTTCTCTAGGGAGAAGCCCCCTGGTAAGTTATCCAGTTCCAAGTGGTCAGCCCTAAACACATGTATATACAAGCAACGTTAAATGGATTCAGTAGATTCATAAGTATAGATACAAATGTACATATGCATACAAATGTACATCCATATGCATCTATGTGCATGTAATAATAATAAAGGTCACAAAATTGAGGGTGTGGGGGAAACATGGAAAGAGCTGGAAAGGGATAGATGGGATGAAGATAATAAAATACAGCACTCGTGTACAAAATTCTCAAAACAAAATTAAAAATTAAAAGAAAAGGAACCCTCAGTCAACTGATAATGAAAAGTTGGCCCAAGTTCCTCATAGATCTGTAGGGAAGCCATCATGAAAGCAGGCAGTCAGAAGGCTGTGAGAGTGAAAGCAAGAAATCATGATGGTTTAGAAGTAACAAGATTCTGGGTATTTTGAAATTAGAGTCAAGGGGTATCTTAACAGATTATGTGTGGAGAAGGATCAACAATGACTACAAGGTTTTTTCAAATACTTGAAAACCACACATAACTAAAGTTTTCTAAGTCTATCCTATATTGAGTTACTAAGGAGAGCCGTATATAAAGAACTATGTAGAGTTTTCTTCACTAAGCAAAGAATTCTGTAGTCAGGTGAAGAATCTCCTAACTGATCTTTTGAGAGTGAGATTTTCAACCTGGAGTTAGCTGAGTGAACTATCATTTCTTTATTCCAACAATCCATGTTACTCAAATATGCGCACTTATACAAATAAAATGCTAAATGTTAGTATTCATAAAAACTTCCAAAGACTATACATTAGAACTTCATCTGCTTTCATTTCATTGTTACAATAATCCTGAAAACTGTAATTCCCATTCAAAAGATGAAGTTATACTTAGAGGTTAGCTATCTTTGCCCAAGGTCAGCTTAGTGAGCAACAAAGCTTACCCTTGTCCAATTGACTCCAAAGCCAACTCAATTTCCCAATGTAATACCCTTGACAGGCCCTGACTGTTGACATGCTTAAGCTGCCTGGCCTTCATTCCATTCCTCTATGTCCAGGTTATTTAAATAGAAACATCACTTAATGGTGTACAGATAGCTCTGGAATCATCAGAGAGAAAGCACTGTTTTCCTAGGAAGAAAAAGTCAGCAAATAAAGCAGGCCTTCTGATATGGTGTGTGACGTTTCCACTCACACTATGGTGTTATGGGCTTCCTGGAGAAGATAACAACCCAGGATCATTCAACAACTGTATCACTCTGAACTTCTCATACCATGCAGAGACACGGTGTCTGAGAGACATTCTTCCTTCTGCTTTCTGCCTCTCTACCAGGCTAATTCACACTGATCTCAGCTCAGTAATCACTTCCTGGGTGCAGCTGATTCCTCACAAGTGCTCAAGAACTAAGCAAATTATTTTCCTGTCAAAATTTGTTCTCTAGATTCCATCTCATTGGCTCTTACTGAAACAGACACTTAGAAGCTGCTTTTGCTAAAAAGCACCAACTCCTCATTTGGGCCCACAAAGTGACCAAAAGCAGGATGAAAGCCTGGCATCTCTACCTTCACTTTGTGTTATCCTTCTTTCTTTGGCTTTCTGAAAGCACATAAGTCACCAACCCCTAGGTGTTGGCAATTATCCATGAGGGCAAGGGTACACCGAGGAATAGAAGTAATCACCCAGAAGGAACCAGATTGGTTCCTTCAGAGAATGACAACCAAGAGACGAGCAGATATACTTCTCAGACCACCTCACAGGACAGTGATGGGTCCTGTTGGGTGAGACCCCCCCACCTTGATCCTGCTTATTTCTACATAGCTCTTGTCCCTTGCCCCAGTTCTTCCTCAATTTAAACCTAAAGTTCCTATCAGTAGTCTGAAGACAAACAGGATCACTAGGTCCCTTATCTATTTCCCTTCCCCAGTGGCCACCTTGAGTAAATCTCTGTTTTTCACAGTCCTCTTCTCTAATAGGTATACTGGGAACAGGTGACTGAAGCCTACTGAAGCTGTCAGAGCACAAGCTTTTTCCCTAAAAACTCAACATTGAATTACTATCATAAGACCCATAGTCCGCACCCAACAGTATTATACCATACCAAGAACAAGAAGAAGGGAAATGAAATACAATATTAAAGCTTTTAAAATTTGCCCTTATCTACAAATAGCATTTAATGGCACTGGAACTGATCTATGTAAATCCACTGACTTATACAGTCTAAATTTACAAATTTCACTATACTATCAATTCAACAAAACTTACTACTGAATAAAATATTTAACTGGTCATGGAGAGGAAGATAATAAATGAACATCAGTAATAGGCAATGTGTCCCTAAAAATGTCTCCCACTAGTACTTATTAAAGAATGCTACACAGCAATAAACACTCTTGAGAGTAAGACAGCAATTCTGTAAGGGAGAAAACAGTATTATTTATGCATTAATTTTCTTTTTTTATTAACCATAACTTTTCCTAAACCAATGCTTTATCACAATTTAATCTGAATTATCTAAGTGTTCCCACTGACAGTTTTACAAACATTTCAGGTCACCCCCCACCTCAGTGCTTCAAAGAACCTACTTTAAAAATGAACTAATCCTAATTTGTTCTTGAAAGAGTCCCTGAATTTAGAGAGACTAAAGTGTTTTAAGATTCAAGCCACATGTAAATGTTCACAAACAAAAATTTCGTAACTTCTTTTTAAAAATATTTTATTATTCTTGTTTTTTTGTATGTGAGTGTATTGCCTGCATGTATGTAAGTGCACTCATGTAGTGCAGTGCCTAAAGGAGTCCCCTGGAACTGAAGTTACAGACTGTTATTAACCTCCATGCGGGTGCTGGGAATCTAACCCAGGTCCTCTGCAAGAGTAGCCAGTGCTCTTAAACACAGAGCCATCTCTCCAGTTTTCTATGTAAACTGACCTCAACAATAGTTCACCTCAATTACTACACCATGATTCTCTCTCCCAACCCAGTGTTCTAGTTCAAATTTCAAAATCTTACATAACCCCTCCCTAAATTACAAACTTCCCTAGGATTCCCCCAGAACTGGAGTTACAGATGGTTGGGGTGGTAGTTAGCCACCATGTGGGTGCTGGGAATCATACCCAGCTCCTTTGCAAGAGCAGCCAGCACTCTTACCGCTGAGTCATCTCTCCAGCCCCTTTTCCCCTCATCCCCCACCCAGGAAGTATGAAAAGGTTAACAAGTGGTTGTGAAGTTTTATAATATTCCTACCTGCCCCATATCGGGAAAGAGCTCACAAGTTCAACTTTATTTTTCTCAATGTTGTTATTGTCCCAAAAGACTAAAGTCTTTAGCTCTAAATTGTTTAAATGTTCTTTTAGGAACAAAAGGAAAAACCTAGAGTAACATGATTGGTGTCGTGAGCTTGGTCTGCAGTTAACCAACTCTCCCAAAATTTTATGATGCAGCCCAAAATTTTATGATGCATCACAAAATTTTGACGCTTGAGATGTGAGCACTAAATAACAAAACATCCGAGAAACACATACGATATCACACATGTTTAAAAACCAAGCCATAAAGAATTAAAGAAACAAAAAAGGTGCAGAGTTTGGTTGGGTGGCTTTCTCAACTCCGATCTGAACTTTGTCCTCTATTTTTAAAATCTGCCAACTGAAAAGAACGAGGTTCACGTGTTTAGTTCACTTTTTTGTAGGACCACTTTTTCCCAAAACCTTTTGCAAAAAGTATTGCTGATTAAGATTTAAAAAAAAAAAAAAAGTGATCGTTTTGCAGAGACCACGGCGTCTGCTACCCACTGGGACTCCAGAATAGTTTAGAAAAGATTTCCTCGACACCCCGCCCCCCGATCCCCCCCAAAGAACTTTCTAAATGACGTCCAAGTGAATGGAGAGGCCAGGGTCCCAAGATCAGGACTTCTGAAATGCGGTCCCTGCACGCCCTTCTCCCAGCCTCACCCCTAAAATCAGTCAACAGAATGCTTTTGTCCTTAGCACAAGGCCAGCTTTCAAAGCAGGTGAAAACTTTAAGAACACGCAAGGAGCGGACCAAACAAAGCACCTGACTCCGGCCACCAGCTCAGAAAACAGGCACAAGCCCCAGGGAGGACGCTGCACTCGAAGTCCCTGGGCCCGCGAGCGACGCACTCCGGATCTGCGCGAGGGCCACGCGGGCCCGGCCGGGGCAGTGCAGGCGCCGAGCCACTCACCTGCCCATTCTCCAAGGTGCGGGCCGATCGCGGCCTCGTTCCCCACACCCCAGACCTGAAATGCCCTGAAGAGCGAGTACAACAGGCGCAAGGCCACGTAGGCCACGGTGCTCGCGCCCACCCAGTAGAGGAAGCCGGCCGTGGGGACAGCGCGCTCCATGCTCGGGACTAGGCTTCACTACCTCTGTGAATGAAAAAAAAAAAAAAAAAAGAAGAAGAAGAAGAAAGCGAATGAATGGAACGAGGAGGAGGTGCCGGCCGTGACGGCGAAGGCAACGCGGGCGGACGCGGCTCTCAGAGGACTTTGGTTCGAAGCCCCGCCCAAGGCGCCATATCCGTGCCACCATTGATGACTTACCTGTCCCTCTGCGAGTACTATGCCGCCCATTGGTCAGCTCAATTCCATAGCCCCGCCCACAAGCCCTCCTGCGTGCATAGCGCTACGTTTCCGTCCTAAAACAGTGGATCTCTCGCCTGCCAGTCAAGGCGAAGTCCCGCCCATGAGCGGCAGATCTCGCCCCTCCAAAGCGCCCAGATCTTTCATTGGCTTAGGCTGGCTCTTGTGACTGCGGAAAACTGCGCTCTGATTGGTCAATGAGACCCAACCTGATTTAGTTCACATTGAAGGAAGGAATGGATCTGGAAAGCTTCTCGGGAAAGGGACCTTTGTAGAAGGAAGTGTGCCTGGAGCTGCGGTTTTTTACACCCCTTCATTAAATGTTTTCATACTTTTTTATTTATTGTTTTTCATAAGTGTGTATGAATGTATTGCCTGCATGTAAGTGCACCCCTGTCGTGCAGTGCCCGCGGAGGTCAGAAGAAGGCGTTGGAGTGGGTCCCCTGGAAGGAGTTACAGCCCTTTGTTAGCCAAGGGGTCCTCTGTAACAACAGTCAGTGCTTTTAACTGCTGAGCCATCTCTCCAGCCCCAAACACTTTCAGACTCTTTCGTCAGCCGCATGCCTTTACTCCAGTTGTTTCTCGATGCCTGGCTTAGCTCTCACAGTGAGTTTCAAAGACCTGGTTCCCAAAGATTCCTAATTCAGGACTAGAACCCTACTACACAGTGGCAACGAGCTGTGGTGTTGCACGCCTTTAATCCCAGCACTTGAGAGGCTGAGGTAGGCGGATTTCTGTGAGAGTCAGGCCAGCCTGGTCTACATAGCAAATTCCCGGCCAGTTGGGGCTACAGGGAGACCCTGTCTCAAAACAAACAAAAAGTTGTAAGATGAATGAAAAATGGGCTATAGGAACACAGTTTATAGAGCAAATTCATTTGGGAAACAATTAGTTTTTAACTGGACCTTAAAGAACTGGAGAGAATTTTCTTTGTGGACAGATGAAGTGTATTGGGGTGGAACGGGTGCTGTGATGAAGGAAAATTAACCTAATGAACCTCAGTATAACTTTTTCTGTATGGTAGATGAATAAGTACTGACATGTATTAGATAAGAACCTTATGTACTAATAATGAGCATAATAATAGGTGTGCTTTTGACATATGTGGAAGTAACAGGAGTTTGGAAGCTTCAACTTGTACTCAAATCATAAAGTCCACTCTGAGATCAGTCTCAAGCTGAGACAGGACAGGACAGAAAACCACAAATCAGTCTGTGATCTTAAGGAAACATCTGGTTACAATGGGTCATGAGACTGTACTGGCATCAGCAATATATCATGCTACTGGGAATATCACAATCCTTGCCTGAAATACCTGCTTTTAAAATGCCTTTTAAATTTTCTATAATTAAGCCTAAAGGGCAAGAATATTTCTGTTCTGGAAGTCTCAAATCCACCAGTATGATTACTGCCAAAGGATCCTATAAAAACCTGCATGTATTTCTGGTTCATGCCTCAGCTTCCCTGGAGCAGGTTAGCTCAAGTCTGCGTTCCATGCATAATAAAGAAATTTCTTCCACTTTCTGAGTATGGTTAGAGGCTTGTTACTGTGCCAAGTTAGTCTCAGGTTAATTCCAGTAACAACTGGACTGGCAGGGATGAAGATACTCTAAAAAGACACTTGTGTCCCTATCTGTGGCTATCAGACTATTGAAACAATGCACCCAAAGAAACTGGAATTACCCCCAGGAATCTCATGCTAGGAGAAGAAAAAACTTTTTCCTCTGGGCCAGTCAGAGGAAAAAGTTTCCTTCTGGAAGATTTAGAACCTGTCAGGCCACCTTCTGAAGAGAAATGGGTCAGCAGGACCATTCCTTAACCAGGATTGCTTAGATATACATAACTGGCTCTCCACCTAAACTTTAACCTCACTTCAGAACCCAAAAAAATGGCCCTGGGTGGGGAATATCACTTGATCTTGTCCCTCTTCCCATTGTAGCCACATTGGTTAAACCTCTTTTTTCTGCTTTTCACTATTAATTTGGTCAAACCTGGCTTGTTGGGGCACAAGCTGTAACCCCAGGTTCAGTAATGTATGGTGTATGTGTTTGTGTGGGTGCACACACATGTAGAGCAGAGGTCAACATGGGGTGTCTTCCTCTATCACTATCCACTGTAATTTTTGAGACACTGCCTCTCACTCACCCTTTTGGCTAGACTGGCAGACCAGTGAGCTCTATGAATTCCCCTGTCTCTGCCTCCCCAGTGCTGGAATCACAGACACAGGTCACTGTCCTGGCTTTTCCACTGTACTAGGGATCCAAACCCAGGTCCTCCTGTCCAAAGCAGCAAGCACTTTACCCATTGACCCATCTCCCCCCACAGGGAAGTTTTAAGGTACAAAAAAGTGTGCAGTCTAGAAGATCATGGAAATACCTCAACAAAGTTCCGGAGCAAAAGGCCACAAGATAAACAAGAAATTGAGTCCGGCAGTGAAGTATATTTCTTCTTCTCTCATGTCTCTGTCTAGGCTCATCTGCTTAGAAGTACAGGTGCCTATTCAACATCTCCAATTAAGCTTAATACATTTGTTGCTTGTTTATTTTTGTTACTGAGACAAGATCTCATGTATCCCAGGCTGACCTCAAACTATGTAGCCTTGAATTCCTGATATTTCTCCACCTACCTCCCAAGTACTGAAATTACAGGTATCAGCCACTATGTGTGATTATTTTATGCAGTGCTAGGGATTGACTCTTTGTATCTGCCAGTTAAGCAGCCTAGCAACTGAGCTATATCCCCAGCTCAAACAGTATATATAAAATAAACTCTAGACTTCGCTCTCTGTGTGTCTCTGTCACACACACACACACACACACACACACACACACACACCCCTCTTCTTCTTTAATGGGACCACCACTTACCCCTTCTCTGAGATGCAAAACCTAGGGATAAGCCTCTCTTTCTAGTACATTCCCATATCCAATTCTTAGGTAAGTCTTTCACACTTTGTCTTCCATATAAACCTAGACAGGTCACTTCATTTCTCTGCTGTCAACCAATCTAAGCTGTATTTCTCTCCTGAATATGGTGATAGCTTCCTATTGGTCTCTCTGAAGCTGTTTTGGCAAACAGATGTTGTTGATGTAGAACTTTTTAAAAACATACACATAAGGATTTTCCATTAGAATTCATTTTGAACATATTATTTTAACTGGAAGGAACATTGAAGGTTGAGGCTATCTCATTTCAGCATCCATTCTTTTCTACGCAGTCTAGATGATATCCATAAAATTAACAGGAATCATCTTTAATAAATTGGAGTCTGGAAATGTTGCTCTGTGGTTGAGCATGTGCTTAGCACAAACCCTTGGATTTTTAAATCCTCAACACGGAAATAAAGAAATACCACATGTTTTCCAATTACCTTAGCCATCCTTGAAAATATTGCTTTATCTATTTTTTTTTTTTTGGTCTTTTTGAGTCAGGGTCTCCCTGTAGCCCCAACTGTCCTGGAACTCATTATATAGGCCAGACTGGCCTTGAACTCACAGAGATACACCTGCCTCTGCCTCCCGAGTGCTGGGATTAAAGGTGTGTACCACTACGCCTGGCTTGCTTTATCTATTTTTAAAGTGGTTTCCCTAAAGGAAAGCCCTTTGGAGTCCATCCAGATAGCTCTTTAATTCTGGAACTGAATAATGATCCTTAGTCTCTGAATAAGTTTTCTGAACCACTGAAAACTTTACTGCATATAAGATCTTACCATAACCAATCATATTCTATGCTAAGATTTAACACCACAGACACACACACACACACACAAATTAACTGAACATGTGAACCTACTGTTAGCTCTCCAAAAAGGAAGAAATACTATAAATCTCTGGGCTTTGGTGTCATATAAATCTGAGGCCAAATCCTAATCCCACCTCTTATGAGCTGTATTATCCTATATAGAATTAATTACTAAGCATTCAAAATCTATAGATAAGATGGAGAGATAACATTTAAGCACTTAGTAGTGCTTGGTAGACATCCCATTGAGCAAGATAAAAACTAATCTTCATTTTACAGATGAGATACTGAGGCTTAAAGTATTTAAGCAACTTTCCTGTGGATAAGTCAAAGGTAGTGGCAGAATTTGTATCTGAACTAAAAAATGTGACTATGAAATCACATCCTCAGATTTAGCTCAGTATCAAAGAAAAAAGTAAAGGAGTCTCTAGAAACCCAGTCTTTAGTAACAGACACAACCACATCAAATTTCAGGATCATTTTATTTAAAAGATTTTAAATTGAGACTAGTCTTTAATGTAGAAAATTGTGAATCAACATTGCATTGTATCATATGAGTACACAAAGATTTCCAACTTAACTGGAAATTAATTTTCAGTTTTTCTACAACTTGATACAACTTTCTACAAATTCATATTAGACTTCCACAATAAGATTAGGAATAGTTCAATATAATAAAAAATTAGAAAATTTCATAGCAGAAAATGTTAAGAATAATATTTTGATTAAACCTTTAAGGTAAGAGATGAAATTTTCATTTCCCTGTGTAATAAAAAATATGTTTTAGGGGCTGGAGAGATGGCTCAGCGGTTAAGAACACCGGCTATTCTTGAAGAAGACCTGGGTTTGAATCCCAGCACCCACATGGCAGCTAACAACTGTCCATAACTCCAGTCCCAGGGAATCCAACAGCCTCTTCTGACCTCCACCGGCATTGCATGACACAGGTGTACTTACCTACATGCAGGCAATACATGCATTTACATAAAACAAAAATAAAAGATAAAAAATTTTAAAAATGTTTTAATGGTTCTATAATATCTGGTCTTTAATTAAACACTGTTCAATCTTAAGTTTGTTTTTGTTTTTAATGGCAGGGTTTCATGTATCCCAGACTACTCTCGAATTTGCTATACTCTCTATACCTCTACCTCTTCAGTGCTGGA